TGTTCTTGGGTACAAGTGGGTTGATGTTGATAGTTCTTGTTCTGAGCGCGGGGCGAGGGAGTTTATATAGAAAATTCGAGCGTTTGATAGAGATCATAGTCCAACACTTATGCGCCAGGCGTTTTTTTCGGAATGTGACCTTGCTTCTCAGAATGTGTGTAAAGAGAATTTCAATTGCTCAAAATAACAAAACCGATAGAACATAACATAGCCCGATCCCTTAGAAAAGTCTTTTTCCCAAACAGAATAAAAAGCCGTAACACAACATAGAATGAAACACCGCAAAATAGAAATACCCAATCAATTTAGTCCTCCAAATTCGTAATCCTTGCCCTAAATGCCTCATTTTGTGGCCCCAATTTTCGTTTCTTATCACCCTCCCTTCCGTGGTCCTTTCTCCCGGAAGGATACTCTTTTCTCTTCAGGTTCGTTAACCTGACCTTACTCGTCGCTACGCAATCCTTTACGAAGTGGTTATCTCTACCACAACGGAAACACTTTCCTTCCTTCTGCCATTTCTCCTTCTCTTCCTTGGTAACACCTAAGTCATCCGAGGTCTTGGAGTTGTTGGCTGATGCGGGGAAAGTTTTCCGCGGATTTGCATTGTTGCGCGATTTCCGCCGTTCTGTTTTTTCCTCGCGAGGTTTCACAGTGTCTTTACCTCGCAGGATTTCTTTCCGCGCCTTCACCTCGTGGTCCTTGCGTCCGACTTTTCGTACCCAGGCTAACCAGTCCACGAAATCTTCAGGCTCCTCAATCGCATTAGAGAGCCTCTGTTCCAGTGAGGAGTTTATTCCTGTTAGGATCATGGATCTCATGACAACTGGTCCAACTCGTGCGTCCCATTCCAGGTTCTGCATCTCATTGATGTAGTCGTCGATTGGGTCAGTCTGCCGGAGCTTGTCCATTTTTTGCTTGGCCTGTTCCTGACTCGTGCGGTTGCCATATTGGGTGCGGAGTTCTTGCTTGAACCGTTCCCAGGTTCCGATACTGCTGTCCACAGCTAACCTCTCCGTGAAATTCCGCCAGAAATTCGCCGCACTACCGGTAAACTCGAGGGATGCCCACATAATCTTAGTGCCGTTGTCCCATTGGACCTTCTTCTGGAGACTGATTAGGATTTCCATCTGATCGATCCAGAGTCTTACGTCTTGATCGGCTTTTCCGGAGAAGGGAATGTTGGCCTTTTTGGGTGCATCACCTACGGTGGCACGAGGGGGGTGCGAGAGTTCTTGTTCTCGTTGGCGCCTCCTTTCCTGTCTTCGTTTTTTACGTTCCAGCCGCCTGCGGCGTTCGTCCTCCGAATCTGAGGAGTCCGATGGGGATGATCCGGGTGCTTCCGGGGCGTTACCTCCCTGATTGCCATTCCCGTTACCTCCACCTTGTACTCCTTGACCTCCTCCCTTGTTGCCATCCCCGTTACCTCCACCTTGTGCTCCTTGACCCCCTTGCTTCCCTTGTTGGCCTGGGTCTTCGAGGTCTTCACTGGATTCGGAGCCGGCTGGAGGGGCGACTGGTTGTTGGGGAGGTGGTCTAGGAGGTGGGCCTGATCCGCCGCCACCTGTTTCTGGGGCCAGTGGTTTTTCCGCAGCCGCTTTACGGGCTGTTTCCCTCATCTGCTCCATCATTTCTTCTAGAGCCGTCCTTGTTCCAGAGAACCCATCTACCAAGGATACCTGCTGCTGCATGGTCCTCTCCAATTGTGCCAGTGTAGCTGCTACGCCATCTGGGACTTGGGCTGGGCCATCCTTCGGCAGTCTTTGAATCCAGTCGGCCAGTATAGTTATGTGCTGGGCCTGCTCTTCCTGCCGCTGTTGGTGGGCCCTAGTAGTGGTGACGATCTGTTCCAAGACTTGACCGAGGTTCGTAGTAGTTGCGGCTGTCTCTGCCCGCACTTGCGCGAGGATGTACCCATCTCGGCGCTCCCGTTCTTCTTGGTCCTGGTTGAACTTCATCTGCAATTCGCGGATGAGTTTGGTCTGTTCTTCGTGCTGCTGGGTAAGCTGCGCCGCGTGCTGCCGAGTAATTTCCCTGATTGCGGGCAGGTCTTGGATGCTCACAGTGAGGTCTCCAAGTCCGCGACTCAGCTGCTGAACCACTGGGGCTCCTCTCCGTTCGATTTCCTGCCCGATGATTTCTCCAAAGGGGTGCTCGATACGGCGTTCTTCCACGTCCATATTCGTGTCTTCATCGTCTTCCGTTCCCCTGAGGACCGAGGGCCTCGGAATAGAAGATCGTTCTCTGATTGGCGTCTTGTACGGGGAATAGTCTCGGTAGTCCCCTTGCCTGCGGGAGCGGGGTTGGCCATAGGATGCGGCCGGCTGAGTCGATCTGAAGAGGTCGCTGATTGGCATGTCCAGATCCCTCCTGTGGCGCTGTCTCGCTTGGGTCTCGACTATACCTCGATCTCTCACGGTGATCGAGCTCTCCATGTTGTAGTCTTCCTCCATTTGTTGCTGATGACCCCTTGACATCGCTAAGTTGCTCGATTCTGAGTTGTGGCTGTCTTCTGCACCAGGGTTGAGCGACGAACCAAGGGACGGAGTGAGCTAATCCGTAGGATTGCTGACTGAGGGTGACTTTGATGGGGAAGAGTTCGGGATAGTTGAGGATCTCCGGGTCGTGTTCTTCGAACGTACAAGTAGTACCTGCTTCGGTAAAAAACCCGGCGTACTCGAGGTATCCGCAATAGAGGTGTTCGGCACTGCCTCTGCGAACGACAAAAGAGGTGGTGCAAGTAAAGTTATCGATAGCTGCTGTTGCTACTCGGGGATGCATACGGTATCAAAGAGTCCTTCTAGTAGACTACTTTCTTATTCTTTTACTTGAGCGCACGGTGACTATCCGCCACAAACAAAATACTCTCAAGTATTGGTGTAAGCAAGTAGTTGTCTTATCGGGACGTTGATAATATGCGACCGATAAAATAATAGCGTAGTGGATAAGGTACAATATAGTGTTTGGGGAAATGCCAGTGCTAAGCGATAGTTCTGTAGCTTTTAAACTTGTAATATTGTAAACCGGATTCCGCTCGCTGAGTGACTGATGATGCCACTAAGATGAAGCGGAACCCTTCCCTATTTATACATGTTGGAACCTATGCCAAGGCCCACTTTCTAATACTAATGAGATAACGATAATGGAATAAGACAATCAACCCGAAGATAACCCCAATAGAAAAGCGCCCCCGCATAGTCCCGGTCATCCATTCTAATTCCGACACGTAACCATGAACCCCGCAATTGCTAGTAACCGAGCTGTATCATGCTATTGTCCTAGAGCTACTTCCCTAAGTAGAATGGCCTGCAGCCATAAGCCCCGCTTCTATTCCGTTCCGGGTGAGACACCCAATAGTAAGCGTGCCCTCACAACAGCCTAATACTAGTGTGGTTGCACCCGGTGCCCCCACACCCCTCGGTACCTTTCTATGCTTGTTCCTTCGTTACCCGACCGTACTCACATCACAACCCATCACTCATATAATCCTTGTTCCTTGACTTAGGAGCAGTATTCGTATTTCCTGTAACATGAAGATTGAGCTGGAGGAATCGAAGGTTGAAGAAGAAGAGCTTCGGTTCCGTCTGGCACTACACCAGGAAAGTCTCGTCACTGCCGACGAGAACCTCGCTGATGCTGAAGATGAAATTCTTCACATCACCTCTGTTGCAAAAGCTTGGGAAGTTCAAGCCAATGCCACCATTGCCGATCTTCGCTCCCGTGTCTCCGTTTCTGCCGCTAGAGTCAAAACCCAATCTCGCCATGTTTCCAAGTCTCGCTACCTCACCCCTCGCTCCCAAGACCCCCGTACCATCAACAATTGACGAGAAAAGACAATTGAACAAGTGTCTCAAAAGCCGGCGTTAAAAGGTCAGCCCCTTTGGTAAAAAATGGCAAACCAAAGGGGCCAGCCCCGCCACCTGTTTCTGTTCTCCCTGCTGCTACTGTGTCTGAGGACGAGATGTCCGAAGACTCTCTTGTCGTTACCTGCTCAGTTTCTCAGAATCCTGGCTCTGTTATACCCACCTATGCCCTTATTGATACCGGAGCCTCTGGATATGCTTTTATTGACGAATCTTTTGTACGCCATAATAATCTCACAATGACCCGCCTTAAAGTACCTCGTCAGGTAGACGTTATGGATGGGAGGCCTATCGAATCAGGAAAAATCACCCATATTGTCAATGTGTCGCTGGATATCCATGGTCATCGGGAAACTGCATCATGTTTTGTCACGAAGCTAGGTCACTATCCAATTGTGATGGGAATACCTTGGATGCGACGTCACGATGTTACGATTCGGCCGAAGGAAAATTTACTTGTTTTTGACTCTCAAAGCTGTTGCCAACACTGTTCATTCAGTGGAACGACAGTCACTGTCCATGGAATATCGATCCCTCTACCGGAACATCATACTGTTGTCGTTTCAGCAGTTGAGAAATCCACCGTCGACGTCGAGCAACTAGTACCAAAGGAGTTCCACCATCGTCTCCATATGTTCGAAGAATATGATGCCTCAGCCCTTCCACCTCATCGACCGTACCTGTAACGGCAGCTACGTATTTCGGCTAGGTGATGAACTGGGATGAGGGAAGGAGGTATCGTGCAGTGGAATTAGGATTTGTAATGGGGATTTCGGTTATGATCTTTGGGTTTCTGTTACGCGAAGGTATTAGTCATCGTTGGATTATGGATGGATATATAAGGGGGCGTTGTCTTGTGCTTTTGTTTGTTTTCCTTCTTCTCTTTCTTCCTTACGCAACCTCTGTATTTATTCTACGAATACTATTCTTTGTTCGCACTACGTCATAGGGCTCCAACCGGTTTATCATACCAGGCAGAGCCACCCTATAGTCCATAGTCAAAGCATACCTTTACGTCTACGTTCACGTCTACGTCACTACCGAGGTTGTATTCCTTGGCACCACAGTCTATTGCCTATAGCCCCCGTGATACGTAGGTTGCGTCCTCTATCGCCAACCAATACAACACCATAGTCTACAATGTCGGAACATGTCCATGTCGATTATCAACAACTCAATGATAATCTCCAAAGATTTTTTGAAGCGCATCCACAGGTCGATCACGTTGTCGGAGCTGAAGCCTATGCGCTTCTTCAACAATGTCAAAATGGTCTTATCCAATACGCAACGGATTTACAGGAGGTAGAAGCGGAAGCTGAGAGGGCAAGAAGGATGTTTGAACGAGATCTTACTGCTGCCCGAGCTCAACGAACTGCTGTTGAGGTTGTGGCCCCTGACGAAGAACCTATTGGAAACAATGCTCCACCTGTACCTCCAGCACCCCCAGTTACAGGTACCACCTATCGGTCGGAGAAACTCCCAGACCCCGACGTGTTCAGAGGGGATCGTGATCGAGAAAGGTTACACTTATTTAAACAACAAATGAAAATTAAGCTACTAGGAAACATCGATCGCTATCCCACACTACAGTCTAAACTATCATACGCGTTCAGCAGATTGGAAGGCGCTGCTGCCAATCAGTTCTTACAGTACATGGGAGAAGAAGGTATTGCCTTACCCTCTATGACACGATTTTATGAGATTCTGGATACAGCTTTTGGAGACCCCGATCGAATGCGTACAGCTAGAAGGAATCTTCGAAACATCAGACAACGCACTCGAACCTTTGCCGATTATTTCGCTGAATTTCAACGGTATGCTGCTGAGTCGGGTATGGATGAAGTCTCTCGGATTGAGGCTTTGATGGAAGGAATTAATGGGGAACTGGACGAATCTGTGAGGGATGCGTACCAGACCACAAGAGTACACTACGCAGAGCTCAGAGTTCGGCTAACAGCTACAAAGGTAGAAGTCTCCAAGGTCTCTTCAGTCAACGTCGAGTATGATTCTCCTTGATCCGATACGGGCCCCGCGAGCTACGTTATCAACAAAGATTCACTAGAGTTAGCGTGTGGTGTTCGGCCGACTTCGACGTAATAGTTCAGGTAGAGTTCGAAGTCACAATAGAATAAAGTATTTCCAAAAGTGTAGTCAAATAAAGTTGTAACTCGCGTATCAACGATTTATATTGTTAAGACTCTGATTTCGCCGATGATGGTTTGGCTAGTCAGTGAATGACACAGTATTTATATCCCTCGCTTATGTCTCGAGGACCCAGTCTAATAATACAGAATACACTCGGGGCATGCCCGAGACCCTGAAAAACAACCAAGAACATTTAACTCCTAAGTCCGTACCCTAAACTCCTAAACCCACTAAAACCCCTCAACCTATTTATCCACTCTAATGCACGTTTCCCTGTCGATGTTTCTTCTCCATCGGCCGTCTGGTGGATAATCGTCAGCGTCGGCTATTCGGAGGTCTCGGACGGCAAGGCTACCTACTCAGGCCTCTTCCCACATCGCTTTCCCACATAGCAGAGTCCTCTCATGCCCACAGGTACCGCCGATAGGTACTCGGTCGGCTGGCAGCTTGCGCCGATTCGCTCCGAGCGGTCCGATCTTCGATCCGATTGATTGCAGCTGTCCCTCATATATCCACCGGTACCAAAACACACCCCTCCGGCGGTTTGACGCTCCGGGGGTTATTATTGGGGTCGAAGACGTGTTTTTTAACTAGGAAAACCGCAACTCCGCATTTGGTCGCATATCGATCGCACCACACCTCGTGGGTGCGAACCGGAGTTGATAGTGGTGTTGCCATTAGTATCAAAGAGTATTGGGGTATCTACTAGCCTTTCTTTCACTCCCGTAAATGCTTGGCATGCCCGTAACAGCTTACCCCCCTTCCAGGGTGTCACGTCTCGGGACATCTTCTGACAGACTATGGTTCCAGTAAACCTGCTCCACATATCACCCGCGGTGTCTGTGGAGGGGAAGGACTTAGCCCCGTAGGGTACCTCTATAGTCTCAGGCGTTGGTCCTTCACGGCCTTGGGGTTCCTTCGATGGAAGTTGCGGACAAGGTCAAGTACTTCCTCATCCATAGCGTCCATGACTTGATACGTACAGTCACTCATCGAAAAGCCCCGCCATTTCACCAGGTATTCCACTAATCCTCTTCTGCTTTTCCGGCTCCCCACGATACTTTCCACTTCGTACAGCACCTCTCCTTCCTTATCGACCTCTTCGGGAGTTGGGGGACGTTGTTCTCGGCCTGGGATACTGCTCTGTCGATACCGTTCCAAGAGTTCAATATGGAACACATTATGGATTTTGACTTGTGGCGGCAGTTCCAGTTCGCAGGCTCGTTTCCCGGCTAGTCGGATGATTTTGAACGGGCCGAGTTTCTTGTGATCGAGTTTCTTGATGGAGCGACGTGTCTTGATATTGGTCGCATTGAGCATAACCATGTCTCCCACCTTGAAGTTAGGTGGTTCGTCCCTTTTTCGATCATAGTATTTCCCCATCTTCTCCCTGGTGTCTGCTAAGCGAGCGAGAGCAGAATCATGAACCCCTCGGATGAAGTGGGCGTACAGGTCACTAGTTGGGTTGACCACTTCGGCTTCTGTTGGCCAGTTGGTTCTTGGGTTATAACCGTAATTGGTATAAAACGGAGATTGACCCGTGGCGGTGGTAACCGAGTTGTTGTAAGCATACTCCGCCAACGGGAGTAGCTCTGCCCAATCATCTTGCTCGTAGTTACAGAACGCTCGTAAGTAATGCTCGAGGGTTTGGTTGACTCGCTCTGTTTGCCCATCGGTCTGAGGGTGGAAAGCCGTACTCATTCTTATCCTCACGTCCAATAATTCCATAAGGGATGCCCAAAAGCTTGAAGTAAACTTGGCGTCCCTGTCGGAAACTATATCAAGAGGCAGCCCATGGAGTCGCCAGATTTGACCGAGGAATATCTTCGCTAAATCCTGCGCGGTCGTTTCTGCTACTAGGGGAATGAAGTGCGACATCTTCGAGAACCTATCGACTACTACCCAAATTTGGTTGTATCCCTTCGATTCCGGTAACTGCACGACGAAGTCCATTGATATTGATTGCCAGACGGAATGTGGTGTGGACAGTGGTAGAAGCGCACCGTACTTCTTATGGCGGCTGGGTTTGTTGCGCTGGCACTCGTCACATGACCGAACGTAATCATCAATCCACTCGTTCATTTTTGGCCAGTAGAAGTTACGCGTGATGAGTTCCAGTGTCTTGTCTTGTCCAAAGTGTCCTGCCACTTTCGAATCGTGTTCTGCCTGTGCGATTCGGATCTTGATACGGTCGTCTGCCGGAATGTAGAGTCGATTCTTATAGAAGAATAGCCCGTCTTTCTCAGCGATATCCTTCATTTCCCCCAGCTTCTCTCCCTGCTCAAATCTCTCTTTCAATCCTACCCATATCGGGTCTCCCGATGCCGCCTGCCTGACGTGATCCAGGAAATTCTTAGACCAGTCAATCACCCCCTTGGAGGCAAGCGACACCGCTGATACCTCAAACTCTTCCTCCGCCAACTGTCCGGGCTTAAAGAACTTGTCTATCGGCTGTTTCCCAAGCGTGCCTCCCCCTTCAGGACGGTACTCCGGCCGTCGCGATAGTGCATCTGCCTTCCCATTTTTGGTTCCCGGGCGGTAAATAATTTTAAAGTCAAATTCCGCCAAAGACTCAGCCCACCTTGCCTGTCGTCGGTTAAGAACCTTGGTTGTTGAAAAATATTCCAAGTTCTTGTGATCCGTATAGACGAGAACCGTTCGGCTAGGTCCTTCGAGGTAGTGACGCCATTGCTTAAAGGCTGACACAATTCCCAACATCTCCTTATCCCAGACGTCGTAGTTGAGTTCCGCTGGGTTAAGTTTTCGAGAATAGAAGGCAACAGGGTGAGTCTTTCCGTCAATAACCTGGGATAAAATTGCGGCGATAGCAAAATCACTTGCGTCCGTTTCCACGATAGTCTGGCGATCTGGAGAGAAGTGTACCAAGATCGGCGCAGACGTAAACAGGGTTTTGAGTTTTTCGAAGGCTGCTTGGGCCGTCATAGACCAGACAAAGTTCTTAGCATCGCCCCTGAGACAATCGGTAATGGGTTTACAGACCCCGGAGAAATTGTGAATAAACCTTCTGTAGAAGTTGGCAAAGCCCATGAAGATCTGTACTTCTTTAACACTCTGCGGGGCTTGCCAATTCGTAACAGACATGACCTTATCCAGTGCCATGGTGACGCCTGCTGGGGCAAGGATGTATCCGAGGAACTCGATTTCGGTGAGCTCGAAGAATGATTTCTTCGGGTTGGCGACCAGGTTGTATTCTTGTAGTCTACTAAGTACTTTGCCAACCAGCTCCCTGTGTTCCTCTCGAGACTTGCTATATATTAGGATATCATCAAGGTATACTACTACACCTTGATCCAAGAATTCCCTCAGCGCATCATTCATCATATTCTGGAAGGTCGCCGGCGCATTTGCCAGCCCAAAAGGCATGACGAGGTACTCAAAATGCCCGTACCGCGTACGGAATGCTGTCTTCCACTCGTCGCCGTCTTTAATCCTGATGAGGTTGTAACCTTCCTTCAGGTCAATCTTCGAGAAGATAACCGCGCCTGCCACTCGATCTCGTAGTTCGTCCATAAGCGGTAACGGATACCTGTTCTTGATGGACACGCGGTTAAGTCCACGGTAGTCAACGCAAAGTCGTAGACTACCGTCCTTCTTCTTCACAAATAGGATTGGGGCTCCTGCCGGGGATTTGCTCGGCCTAATCTTTCCCAATCGCAACATTTTGTCCAGGTACTCCCGAAGCACCTTCAGCTCGACTTCGGATAAAGAGTAAACGGGTCCCCATGGTGGCTGTTTTCCTGGTTCAAGATCTATCGCATGGTCGTAAGATCGATGCGGTGGTAATTTGTCGGCTTCCGATGGTAGGAAGACTTTAAGGAACCCATGGAGCCAAGAGGGAAGGGTCTCACGGAGGTTAACCGATTCATCTTCCAAGAGACAAATGCTACCAATGAATTGGGCCTCCGGATCGTCCAGTACACCCTCGTCCATTTCTATTTGAGGTTCCTTGTCAGTGAAGCATCGACCCTTGCAGTTCTCACCATCGTAGGTAACTTCCCCATTTGCCCCTATAACTGGCTTGTGTTCTTTCAACCACCAGTTCGGTAGTATCGCATCGATGCCAAGTGGGAGAGGGGCGATCTCGAATGACAACTGTGTTTGATGCCCCCTTGACATTATAATTAATGGTTGTGTAAAGGCGTGTCCCGTGCCCTTCATAATTTCTCCCGTAAATCCAAATACTCGGGCCGGGACGTCTCGTTTCACCTTCGGGACCTCAAAACTATCAACAAAAGCAGCAGACAAAACAGGACCAGTTGCACCAGTATCCAACAACACCTTACAAGATAAACATTTTTCCGCAAAACAAAGGAACTGATTAACGATAGGTCGAGGACCATGAATAGGTTCCTCCAAAATTTTCTGTTTTTTCTCCGGTTGGGACGCTCTCCCTTCATGCCTTTTTCTTTTCATATTTTTTTTATTGTTTTCCGTCAGTGATAACATAGCAATCTGGGGATACTCCTGACCTGACTCATCAGAGTCCCCTTTCAAAAATCCTCGTCGAAATCCATCTCAGATTCCGATCCGCGTTCTCGCACAAACGCTTGCCCACTGGTGTACTCCGCAGCAGCCGTCGCAGCCGGCTTCTTAGCACGGTGCCTCATTCGCTTTCTCTGAGGTTGGGGTTCCGGTGGTTCCATATCGTGGTCGCCATCGTCATCGCGGGTACGCTTTCGGGAGAAAGAGGAGATAGATGCACTACTGTTAGCATCTGAACGACACCATTTCCAAAGATGACCCTTTCGGCCACATCGCACACAGGCTCCATCGGTCTTTCGCTGTTCTCGGACCGGCTGTGGAACTCCTTTGGTGGCTTCGTCGTAGTCGTGGTATATTGGCTTATTCCCCGACTTATTCTTGCTGGTGCTCTTCTTATCTTGCCCCTTTTCTTTCTCCTCAGTCTGAGCCCTCCCCTTGATCTTAAACCCCTTCTCCTTCTGCCGCGAGTTCCCACCATTGTTCGACTCCCTTCCTCTCGACTCCGCTTTCCCCAACATCTTCATCTGCTCTTGATAAGCCTCGTGAGCTTTGCCGGCTCGTTCCAACTGTTGGATGTACTCGGAGTCGTCATCGGTTGGATCGAAGCGTGAGTGACGCTCCCGGATTTCATTTGGTAGCCCTTGGAGCAGGGCGGCGCGATAGGATGCTCCTTTCATCTGAGCATGCTGGTTCATGATTTCCATCCTCGTCAGGTAGTCCCCGATGTTCGCCGAGTACTTAAACTGCTGCATCTTCATCGCATTTTCCATAGCTTCCTGAGTGCTTAGGAAACGTTTTCTGATCTCCTGACGGAACCGAGTCCAAGTAGCATAGTCCGCCGCTGCCGGACCTAGCATCTTGGTTTCAATATACTCCATAAACCATTCCTTTGCCAACCCACACGTATACGTTCCAGCGAACAGCACCTTGTTTCTGTCCGTTCGGAACTTCTTGGGCTTTTGCTCGAAGTAGATCTCGCACTCCATGAGCCAATGCCGCAGGTTGTGCTTCCTGGCATTATCGAACTCGAAGGGTATTTTGGCGAGCGAATCTACCATATCCTCGTCTTCAGGCGGCGCCGTATTCCGGTTCCCGCCTCGGTTCGTTCTCCAGTTCTTTCGACCGTGCGACCATTCACTATTATCGTCGTCATCGTCGTCGGAAGGTTCTGGGTCTCCCCCAACATTTCCTCTTGGTGGGTTCTGGGGAGGTTGATTTCCACCATTCCCGCCGACGGGGGCAGCTCCCACCGGTTTCCTGCCACTATTTCCCTGTACTGGGCCGGCATCCTCCGGTTGCCTGCCTCCATTTCCTCCTACGGGACCAGCATTTCCTCCAACTGGGCCAGCATTTTCGGGTTTCTTGCCATTGCCAACAGGAACCGTTTGAGGTGCATTAGGGTCAAGGGAAATACTCACCATGGAGGGTGCTACCGACAAATGTTGTCGTAGACGTTCCTCCATTTCGGCTATTCGTTGGTTTCTCACATCATCGGACTGCTTGAATTGTGCCAACAATTCCCGCTGTTCCCTTTTCTCCTGCTCTCGCTCTTCTCTTGCAACTCTCAGCTGCCGTTCCGCCTCCAACAGTTGTTCCTGGGTTATTCGATGGTTACGGTCCAGAATTTCGTGGTCGGCGGCTCGTGCAGTTTCTTGCATTTGTCGAACATTTTCGACGAGCTCAAAGAGCGATTCGAGATGTTGCTTCTGGGCGATGGCTTCTTGCCGTGCTTTCTTATCCAGAATTTGCCCACTCCCCTGCACTTGTTCCTGGAGGTTTTGTAGCTGCTGCCAAACGGCCTGTCCAGCTGTACCAAGATACCTCATTTGTGCCTCATGGGTATCCAAAAACTCCTGCATGGACCTCGTAAACTGGGCTTGAGTAGAGCGTTTACTCGTTGACCTAGTGTGTGTAGAGGGTCCTCCCTGGAGTAGGGGATCGGGGCTAACAGCCTCAGATAGTACCATAGCGTCCTCTGCGGCCTCGTCTGTTACGGCCGAGGTGTCTACGAAATAATCCCTTCGGAATGCCATTATGGTAAGGGATAATGGTGATAGTTCTTCTTTTTGAGGTGACTTCGTTACTCCAAGTGAACTTGTGAGTAACAATATACTGTGAGGGATGCGTACCAGACCACAAGAGTACACTACGCAGAGCTCAGAGTTCGGCTAACAGCTACAAAGGTAGAAGTCTCCAAGGTCTCTTCAGTCAACGTCGAGTATGATTCTCCTTGATCCGATACGGGCCCCGCGAGCTACGTTATCAACAAAGATTCACTAGAGTTAGCGTGTGGTGTTCGGCCGACTTCGACGTAATAGTTCAGGTAGAGTTCGAAGTCACAATAGAATAAAGTATTTCCAAAAGTGTAGTCAAATAAAGTTGTAACTCGCGTATCAACGATTTATATTGTTAAGACTCTGATTTCGCCGATGATGGTTTGGCTAGTCAGTGAATGACACAGTATTTATATCCCTCGCTTATGTCTCGAGGACCCAGTCTAATAATACAGAATACACTCGGGGCATGCCCGAGACCCTGAAAAACAACCAAGAACATTTAACTCCTAAGTCCGTACCCTAAACTCCTAAACCCACTAAAACCCCTCAACCTATTTATCCACTCTAATGCACGTTTCCCTGTCGATGTTTCTTCTCCATCGGCCGTCTGGTGGATAATCGTCAGCGTCGGCTATTCGGAGGTCTCGGACGGCAAGGCTACCTACTCAGGCCTCTTCCCACATCGCTTTCCCACATAGCAGAGTCCTCTCATGCCCACAGGTACCGCCGATAGGTACTCGGTCGGCTGGCAGCTTGCGCCGATTCGCTCCGAGCGGTCCGATCTTCGATCCGATTGATTGCAGCTGTCCCTCATATATCCACCGGTACCAAAACACACCCCTCCGGCGGTTTGACGCTCCGGGGGTTATTATTGGGGTCGAAAACGTGTTTTTTAACTAGGAAAACCGCAACTCCGCATTTGGTCGCATATCGATCGCACCACACCTCGTGGGTGCGAACCGGAGTTGATAGTGGTGTTGCCATTAGTATCAAAGAGTATTGGGGTATCTACTAGCCTTTCTTTCACTCCCGTAAATGCTTGGCATGCCCGTAACAGAATCGATGATACACCATGAGACTCCTGCAACGGTAGATGGTTGTGCAACACTCTTGCAACGGTTGGATAACCGACGACGCGCAGCGGAAGCTAAGCGAGGTAGTAAAAAACCTTGGACTACTACTGCGACCCCGGCTCCGCGTCCCCCACCAACAAATCCTGTTCCTGTTCCCCGTCCTGCTGCCCCTGCTACCAACCCACCTGCCACTGAGAATCACCCCTCGTTCCGTCCTGGAGGTGATGTACCCATGGATCTGTCCGGAGGACGTCGTCGCCCTACCCCTGCCGAAAGAACCGCCCGCTTAGTTGAGGGCCGATGTTTCTATTGCGGAGGTGTTGGGCATATGGTTAGGGATTGCCCCCAAGCGAGGGCAACGGGAAGCCAACCAAGGAGGCCTGTTATGAGAGGAGCAGCGTTGACGGTGGAAGAAAATGGCGGAAGCGATAATGAGTCGGCAAAAGATTTGTCCCTGCACTAAGTGGCTTAGCCCAGGGACCATTTAAGGATTTTTCTAAGATGTGTATTTCTGGTTTTTCGGTATCAGAGGAGGAAATGGATGGAAATCAACTTGTAGTAACTTGTTCGATTTCGCAGAATAAAAATTCTTTCATACCTACCTACGCCCTTATTGATACCGGAACATCAGGATATGCTTTTATTGATGAATCTTTTGCACGCCACAACAATCTTACAATGACCCCCCTTAAAATACCCCGCCATGTAGACGTTATAGATGGAAGGCCTATTAAGTCAGGAAAAATTACCCACATTGTCGATGTCTCGCTAGACATTCATGGTCATCGGGAAGTTGCGCCATGTTTTGTAACGAAGTTAGGACATTATCCGATTGTGATGGGGATACCTTGGATGCGACGACATGATGTTACGATTCGACCAAAAGAAAATCTACTTGTTTTTGACTCTCGAAACTGTTGTCAATACTGTTCACTCAATGGAACTGCAGTCATTGTTCATGGTATCTCGATTCCCTTACCGGAACACCATACGGTCATTGTTTCAGCAACCGAAAAATCTACGGTCAATATTGAACAATTAGTACCGAAAGAGTTTCACCATCGTCTCCATATGTTCAAAGAATACGACGCTTCGATTCTCCCACCACATCGACCATCCCACGACATTGAGATAGTACTGGAAGAAGGTAAACGACCACCATATGGACCTATATATGGATTGTCTCAAATTGAGTTGAAAGCACTACGGGAATATCTTGATGAAAATTTACCTAAAGGATTTATTCGGGCCAGTGAATCACCAGCGGGAGCACCTATATTGTTCGTAAAGAAAAACGATGGAACTCTTCGACTTTGTTTTGACTATCGAGGCCTAAATGCGATCACAATCAAAAATCGATATCCGTTACCATTGTTAAAGGAAACCCTAGCTAAGTTGTCAAGAGCAAAATACTATACGAAATTGGATTTACGTTGGGGATATAATCAAATCAGGATAGCGGAGGGAGATGAATGGAAAACGGCATTTCGAACTCGATATGGACATTTCGAATATACAGTAATGCCATTTGGATTAGCTAATGCCCCTGCAATATTTCAACATTGGATCAATGATATTTTACGTCCCTATCTCGACCAATTTGTAACGGCATACTTAGACGATATCCTTATCTATTCCGAAACTCTACCAGAACATAAAGAACACATTCAAAAGGTTCTAAAGGTACTTGATGAGAATCATGTTCACCTTAAACCTGAAAAATGTGAATTTATGGTTCAGGAAACGAAATATCTCGGTTTAATTCTTACTCCGAATGGAAATAGAATGGACCCAAAGAAGGTTATTGATGTTTTGGAATGGACTACACCGACAAATCTTCGTGATGTTCAAGTATTTCTAGGATTTGCAAATTTCTATCGGCGATTTATTTTAGGATATTCGAAAATTGTTGCTCCACTTACAGCCTTGACGAAGAAGAATGTTAAATTTGATTGGACAGATGAAAGGGAGGAAGCATTTCAAACTTTGAAAAAGATGTTTACAACGGCGCCAATCCTAGCTCATTTTAATCCGGATCGAAAAATTGTGATAGAAACCGATGCATCCGACTATGTTTCAGCAGGAATCCTATCTCAACGTGACAATGAAGGAATCCTACATCCAGTTGCTTTCTTTTCCAAGAAACATTCTCCTGCAGAATGTAACTACGAAATCTATGACAAAGAACTGTTAGCAATTATACGATGTTTCGAAGAATGGCGACATCATCTGGAGGGAGCTCAATTTCCAATTGAAGTTCTTAGCGACCATCGGAATCTTGAATATTTTATGACAACAAAATTGTTAAATCGTCGACAAGCCCGTTGGTCTGAATTTCTTTCACGCTTCGATTTCGTTATACAATTTCGACCAGGAAAACAAGGAACAAAACCAGATGCATTGACTAGGAGGTCAGGTGACCTACCTAAAGAGGGGGATGAACGGTTGACGCATCAGAGTCAAGTGATTCTGAAGCGAAAAAATTTGGATACTAAGCTAAGTTTGTTCGCGGGTTCTTTGTCAAATGAATCCGCTGAAGGAGCGTCCACTGTAGAGGAGTTATTTTCAAAAGCTTACCAAGTGGACAGTTTCCCGAATAAGATCCTCGCTATGCTCCGGAACGGCGTTCGTCACTCGAATAAGATTTCACTCGCCGAATGTATAGAAGATAACAACGGTCGGCTACTTTATCGAGGCATGCTATATGTACCAGACGACGATGACCTTCGACTAAGGCTTTTAAAAGAATACCATGACAAACCATCTGCAGGACATCCGGGTAGAGCGAAGACTCTGGAGCTCCTAAGTCGAGAATATTACTGGCCACAGATGCGGAAGTTCGTCGATCAGTATATCAGGAATTGCAATGTGTGCATCCGTAGCAAGGCATCACACAATGCACCTTATGGAGTACTTCGCCCCATGCCAATCCCCGATGGGCCCTGGACAGACGTCTCGATGGATTTTGTGACTGATCTTCCTGAGAGTGATGGGTATAATGCGATTTTGGTCGTGGTAGATAGACTAACTAAAATGCGGCATCTGATACCAACGACAAAGGAGGCGGATTCACGGGAAGTAGCAAAGCTATATATTGATAACGTCTGGAAACTACATGGATTACCCGACACTATGGTATCCGATCGAGGAACACAGTTCGTTGCGGAATTTTGGAGGTCCCTTTGTGATCGACTGGAAATCTCGCCAAAGTTCTCTACTGCATTCCACCCCCAAACAGATGGACAGACAGAAAGAATTAATGCCATAATGGAACAATACCTCCGAAGCTATGTTTCCTATCAACAAGACGACTGGGTCCGATGGCTACCGATGGCTGAATTTGCAACCAACAACCACGTTTCCGAAACAACAAAAGTTTCCCCCTTTTATGCTAATTCGGGAAGAAATCTGTTACGGGCATGCCAAGCATTTACGGGAGTGAGAGAAAGGCTTGTAGATACCCCTATACCCTTTAATACTAATGGCAACACCACTATCAACTCCGGTTCGCACCTACGAGGTACGGTGCGATCAATATGCCACCAAATGCGGAGTTGCGGTTTTCCTAGTTAAAAAACACGTTTTCGACCCCAATAATAACCCCCGGAGCGTCAAACCGCCGGAGGGGAGTGTTTTGGTACCGGTGGATATATGAGGGACAGCTGGAATCAATCGGATCGAAGATCGGACCGCTCGGAGCGAATCGGCGCAAGCTGCCAGCCGGCCGAGTACCTATCGGCGGTACCTGTGGGCATGAGAGGACTCTGCTATGTGGGAAAGCGATGTGGGAAGAGGCCTGAGTAGGTAGCCTTGCCGTCCGAGACCTCCGAATAGCCGACGCTGACGATTATCCACCAGACGGCCGATGGGGAAGAAACATCGACAGGGAAACGTGCATTAGAGTGGATAAATAGGTTGAGGGGTTTCAGCGGCTTTAGGAGTTTGGGTTACGGATTTAGGAGTTAATGTTCTTGGTTGTTTTTCAGGGTCTCGGGCAGGCCCCGAGTGTATGCTGTATTATTAGAAGACTGGGTCCTCGAGACATGAGCGAGGGATATAAATACTGTGTCATTCACTGACTAGCCAAACCATCATCGGCGAAATCAGAGTCTTAACAATATAAATCGTTGATACGCGAGTTACAACTTTATTTGACTATACTTTCTGGAATTACTTTACTCTATCGTGACTTCGAACTCTACCTGAACTATTACGTCGAAGACGGTCGAACATCACACGCTAACTCTAGTGAATCTTTGTTGATAACGTAGCTCGCGGGGCCCGTATCGGATCAAGGAGAATCATACTCGACGTTGACTGAAGAGACCTTGGAGACTCCTACCTTTGTAGCTGTTAGCCGAACTCTGAGCTCAGCGTAGTGTACTCTTGTGGTCTGGTACGCATCCCTCACAAAATCCTAGGATAACATTTGGGCCTTTGGAACATGGTAGAACGACGGCGGAAGATCAAGCTAATAGTATTGCGCGAGAAATGAAGGATATTATCGACTTCTTACGGAATGAGATGTTTCGGGCGCAAAGAATACAGGAAGAATCAGCCAATAGGAATCGGACTCCAGCTCCTCGATACCATTTAGGAGATAAAGTTTTCCTATCGACCCGTCATATTCTAACAAAACGACCTTCCAAGAAATTCGACTGGAAACGTATTGGACCTTATAATGTTAAGCGCATTGTCAATCCCTATGCTTACGAGTTGGAACTTCCCCGGTCAATGAAAATTCATCCAGTATTTCATGTTTCGCTATTGTCACCCGATGCGAATGATCCTTTACCGGGACAACAACAGTTGCCACCACCTCCGGTTGAAATCGAAGGAGAGGAAGAATGGGAAGTCGAGGATATCTTGGATTCGAGGAAACGAAGAGGAAGATTTGAGTATTTGGTACGATATATGGGATATGATGAAGCCTCCTGGCAACCACTATCGGACCTTGAGCATTCACCTGATATCGTTAAACGATTCCATGAGCGTTATCCAGGGAAGCCTAAGCCTACCAGGAGGTAGGCCTTAGAGGGGGGCGTGGTCTGTAACGGCAGCTACGTATTTCGGCTAGGTGATGAACTGCGATGAGGGAAGGAGGTATCGTGCAGTGGAATTAGGATTTGTAATGGGGATTTCGGTTATGATCTTTGGGTTTCTGTTACGCGAAGGTATTAGTCATCGTTGGATTATGGATGGATATATGAGGGGGCGTTGTCTTGTGCTTTTGTTTGTTTTCCTTCTTCTCTTTCTTCCTTACGCAACCTCTGTATTTATTCTACGAATACTATTCTTTGTTCGCACTACGTCATAGGGCTCCAACCGGTTTATCATACCAGGCAGAGCCACCCTATAGTCCATAGTCAAAGCATACCTTTACGTCTACGTTCACGTCTACGTCACTACCGAGGTTGTATTCCTTGGCACCACAGTCTATTGCCTATAGCCCCCGTGATAGTACCATGATATTGAGATAATATTGAAGGAAGGTAAACGACCTCCCTATGGACCAATATATGGCCTCTCCCAAACTGAACTAAAAGCACTACGGGAATACCTTGATGAAAACCTACCTAAGGGATTTATTCGGGCCAGTGAGTCGCCAGCGGGAGCACCCATACTGTTCGTAAAGAAAAGTGATGGGACTCTCCGACTCTGTGTGGATTATCGAGGTCTCAATGCAATCACGGTTAAAAATCGATATCCGTTACCATTGTTAAAGGAAACCCTGGCCAAGTTATCAAGAGCGCAATACTACACCAAGCTGGATCTACGTTGGGGATATAACCAAATTAGGGTAGCCGAGGGAGACGAATGGAAAACGGCGTTCAGGACTCGTTATGGACATTTCGAATATACTGTAATGCCGTTTGGATTAGCGAATGGCCCTGCCACATTCCAACACTGGATCAATGATATTCTACGTCCTTACCTCGATCAATTTGTAACGGCATATCTGGATGACATCCTGATCTATTCGGAGACTCTGTCGGAGCACAAAGAGCATATTCAGAAGGTTCTGAAGGTACTTGATGAGAATCATGTTCACGTTAAGCGTGAGAAATGCGAGTTTATGGTTCAGGAAACAAAGTATCTCGGCCTTATTCTCACCCCGGATGGGAATAGGATGGATCCGAAAAAGGTTGTCGACGTATTAGAGTGGTCTATACCGCAGAACCTTCATGATGTTCAGGTATTTTTGGGATTTGCTAATTTCTATCGACGGTTTATCCTAGGATACTCAAAGATTGTTGCTCCACTTACGGCTTTGACGAAGAAAAATGTTAAGTTCGAATGGACGGATGAAAGAGAGGAAGCATTCCAGACATTGAAAAAGATGTTTACAACGGCACCCATATTAGCGCACTTTGATCCGAATCGAAAAATCGTAGTAGAAACCGATGCATCCGACTATGTTTCTGCTGCAATCCTATCCCAACGTGATGATGAAGGAATTTTACATCCAGTTGCTTTCTTCTCAAAGAAGCATTCCCCTGCGGAATGCAACTATGAAATCTATGATAAAGAACTTCTGGCAATTGTACGATGTTTTGAGGAATGGCGACATCATTTGGAAGGGGCACAATTCCCAATCGAAGTCCTCAGCGATCATAGGAACCTTGAATATTTCATGTCAACAAAGCTATTAAACCGTCGACAAGCCCGTTGGTTGGAATTTCTTTCACGTTTCGATTTCGTCATTCAATTTAGACCAGGGAAACAAGGGGCAAAGCCGGATGCATTGACTAGGAGGTCAGGTGACCTACCTAAGGAGGGGGATGAACGGTTGACGCATCAAAGCCAGGTGGTTTTGAAGCGAAAAAATTTGCATTCAAAGCTAAGTTTGTTAGCGGGTTCTTTTTCAAATGAATCTGCTGAAGGAATGTCCACTGTAGAAGAGTTGTTTTTAAATGCTTACCAAATTGACAGTTTCCCGAACAAAGTCCTCGCGATGCTCCGGAATGGCGTCCGCCACTCGAACAAAATCTCCCTTGCCGAATGCACGGAAGATAACAATGGTCGACTACTCTATCGAGGCACCCTATATGTACCAGACGATGATGATCTCCGGTTAAGACTCTTGAAAGAATCTCATGATAAACCATCTGCAGGACATCCGGGTAGAGCAAAGACATTGGAACTTCTAAGTCGAGAATATTATTGGCCACAAATGCGAAAATATGTCGACCAATACGTTAGGAATTGCAATGTGTGTGTCCGTAGCAAGGCACCACACATTGCACCTTATGGAGTACTCCGCCCCATGCCAATACCTGATGGACCATGGACGGATGTGTCAATGGATTTTGTTACAGATCTTCCTGAAAGCAATGGGTATAATGCAATCCTAGTTGTGGTAGATAGGTTGACTAAAATGCGACACCTTATACCGACAACTAAAGAGGCGGATTCAAGGGAAGTAGCGAGGCTATACATTGAAAATGTTTGGAAATTACATGGACTACCTGAAACTATGGTATCTGATCGAGGAACACAATTTGTTGCGGAGTTTTGGAGGTCCCTTTGCGATCGTTTGGAAATATCGCCAAAGTTCTCTAAAGCGTTTCACCCCCAGACGGATGGACAAACGGAAAGAATCAATGCTGTGATGGAACAATACCTTCGAAGTTATGTTTCTTATCAACAGGACGACTGGGTTCGATGGTTGCCAATGGCCGAGTTTGCAACAAATAACCATGCTTCGGAAACGACGAGAATCTCTCCATTTTACGCCAACTCAGGGAGGAATCCAAGAATGACTTTTGGTCCTTTGGAACATGGTAGGACGACAGCGGAGGATCAGGCCAATAGTATTGCAAGGGAGATGAAGGATATATTGGATTTTCTAAAGGATGAATTATTTCGAACGCAAAGGATTCAAGAAGAGTCCGCCAATATACGTCGGACTCCAGCACCTCACTATCGTGTGGGGGATAAAGTTTTCTTATCGACCCGCCATGTCCTCACCAAACGACCCTCGAAGAAACTCGATTGGAAGCGTATTGGGCTATATGTTATTAAGCGAATTATTAATCCTTATGCCTATGAGTTGGAACTCCCTCGTTCTATGAAAGTTCATCCTGTATTCCATGTCTCTTTATTACCGTCTGCAGCAAACGATCCTTTACCAGGACAACAACAGTTACCACCACCACCGGTCGAAGTTGAAGGACAGGAGGAGTGGGAAGTCGAGGATATTTTGGATTCCAGGGATCGTCGGGGAAGATTTGAATACTTGGTTAAGTATGCCGGTTATGACGAAGCTTCGTGACAGCCATTGTCGGATGTCGAACATTCGCCCGATATTATCAAACGATTTCACGAACGATATCCACGAAAGCCTAAGCCTACCAAGAGGTAGGCCGTAGAGGGGGGAGTGGTCTGTAATGGCAGCCATGTGGTTTAGTTATGCGAGGTGTTAGGGTACGAAGAGGAAGGGTTGTATACTGTGGTTGGGATTTGTACAGCGGGTTTCTATTATGTTCTTTCTGTTTCTGTTATGCGAGGGTATGAGTCAGCATTGGGATAGGGTATGGATATATAAGGGGGGCGTTGCCTCGTGATTTCTTGTTTCTCTTTCTTTTTCTTTCTTCTTTACGCAACCTCTGTACTTTACAGTTACGAATACTATTTGGTTCGCGCTACGTCATAGGGTTTACCCGGTATACTAAACCAGGTACAACCATCCATAGTCCATAGTCCACAGTCCCCGTTCTCGCCTTAGGTATACCCTTCGGCCCCATAGTCCATAGTCCACGAATCTCCTACGTCTACATCTTCGCCTCGGTTGTATTCCTTGGCTTCATAGTTCCTACGCCCATAGTCCCCGTTACATTAAATTGAAACTGTAGTTTTCTGCCGGTATTGAATTCCTTGCACCATTCTGTTAAATAGGTAGGGAATTTTTGTTGGTACATGATTTCCGCGAGGAGTAGGTGGTCGACGCAGTTAAATGCTCCTTGGATATTGTTGGTTAGGATCGCTGGTCTGTCCCGCCGAGCGATTCCGGTACTGTTTTTCAGTAGTAAGTTTTGTTGTATTGGTGTTAAGGTTCTCAGGAGGGCATCAATTGCCGAGATGGTTGGTCTTCCTCCAAATTGGCTCGCTGAGAGTGTGCCTAGAATTTCTCCAGCGGTGCAAAGTCTCTGAGCCACTATCTTTTCCAGGATTTTGCTGAAGCATTGTAGAAGGGAAATGGGCCGATAGGCTTTTGCTTCATGATAGTTTGCTTTGCCGGGTTTCGGGATCGGGATGCACTTAGCTATTTTCCATTCCGCTGGGTGTACTCCGTGCCGGAGCATGGCGGAGAACATGTCTTGGATTAGAGTTGTATTAGCTCTCACTATTGCTTTAATAAAGGTATAGGGGATGCCGTCCGGGCCGGTCGCCGAATGGGCTGGACAGGAGTCGACTGCTTTATTAAGTTCTTCGGGGGTGACTATGTCGAAGGTGTTGCTAAGGTCAAAAGAGGGGGGCCTAATGTTTAGGGGGGGATGGTCGGGGGATGTCCGTTTTGAGGGGAAAAGTTGAGCTCTTAGAGCTTGACACTTCCCCGCAAACGTTTCTTCACCTTGTATTGTTGGTATGATTGTGTCTCTTCTCCTTCCTGCATTTAGGATTTTCCAGACTTCACTGCCTTTCGCCTGGTTCATCGTCTTTTCCCGCTGGTCCGCTTTTGCTTTCCGGATCATTACTGTCCATTCTCTGCATGCCTTCCGGTGCTCCTCCACATGGTTGGGTTTCTTTGTGTTTCTCGCCTTCCTTTCCCCCGCGTTTACCCTTGCCTTCATTTGTTTCATTTCCTCTGACCACCAGGAATTGGCTCTTACTCCTTCCTTCGAGAGTGATGTTACTATATGGATTGTTGCCCTGACCAGTTCTAGGAAGAAGTCGACAGTTTGTTCCGTATGTTCCTTGGTTTCCCATGCTTCTGCAGGGAGGGAAATGTTTGACATGTGGTTCTCCAATAGCTTCCAGTCTGTTTGTCGCCACATCCGTCTTGGTACAAATGGTGGTTTTTCCAAGTGTGAGTGAACGGAGGTTCTCCCGTGGTCTGAGCCCGCTCCATAGGGTTCAGTGCTCCATCGTAGGTTGTGGTCGAGAGTTGGGCCTTTTACAAATGTAAGGTCGATAATTGTAGGCCTTTTTCCTCTGTCTCTGGGGAAGTGCGTAAAGACGCCTGGTTCGTTCAGGAGGGTCATTTTCTGTCGAATTATCCATTGTTTTAGCCGTGCACCGTTGGCGCGGTCTGCTCGGATGTTGTTCCTGTATTCATGTGATGTTACTCCGTACCACATTTGATGATGGCAGTTGAAGTCTCCCATTACTAGACAGTTATCAAGGGTTTGGATAGTTTTTGCTATTTTGGTGAAGGGGCCACTTCGGCCTGGGGAATATATATTTAGGATTTGGGTTTTCTTGTTCTGGATTTCTACCGTAATCGATACTATGAAATTATCGTATGTGTAGTGGTGTTTTGGTTTGAGGTTGGCATGTTTGCGGACGTATGTTGCGCATTTTGTATTGGTGTTGCTGGCTGTAAAAATATAAAAGAGATTTGATTCTGGTGGGTATCCCTCTGCTGAGGTCCATGGTTCTTGTAATAATAGGAAATAAATACTAGAGTCTGTTTCCGCTTCCTCTACCACCGCCTTGGTAATGAGTTCGCTCCGTGCACAATTGAGTTGGTGTGCGAGCGCGGTGGTTCGGGGCCTAGACATTATTTGTCATGTGTTGGTCATCTTCGGGAACGGGTGTGGCTCCAACCGGGGCGGTGGCTGGTACTTGGACTATTGGAAGCAGCTCTTGGACAGGTGCGGCCGGTGGGTCTTGAGCGGGTGGGGCGTTTTCCTTCCCTTTGTTGAGGAAACGGCATTATCACGGGGGCTATAGGCAATAGACTGTGGTGCCAAGGAATACAACCTAGGTAGTGACGTAGACGTGAACGTAGACGTAAAGGTATGCTTTGACTATGGACTATAGGGTGGCTCTGCCTGGTATGATAAACCGGTTGGAGCCCTATGACGTAGTGCGAACAAAGAATAGTATTCGTAGAATAAATACAGAGGTTGCGTAAGGAAGAAAGAGAAGAAGGAAAACAAACAAAAGCACAAGACAACGCCCCCCTTATATATCCATCCATAATCCAACGATGACTAATACCTTCGCGTAACAGAAACCCAAAGAACATAACCGAAATCCCCATTACAAATCCTAATTCCACTGCACGATACCTCCTTCCCTCATCCCAGTTCATCACCTAGCCGAAATACGTAGCTGCCGTTACAGGCATTTGGCCTTCTCAGGGCATGCTGGGTCGGAGGCCTTGTGAGCTCCTTTACAGTTCAGGCATCTGATTGGGGTGTGGGTGCATCTATATCCTCCCTGGCATTCATTGCATGGGTGGAAACTGTTGAGGTGATCTCCAGCGCAGTGGCCGCATTTCCCATTGTTCTTACATTTCTCCTGGCGGTGGCCGTATTCGAGGCACTTCGCACACTGGGTATCCGGGAAGGTTGGGAGGAAGGCCTCGATATGGCAGTTTCGGTTAAAGAGAGATAGAAATTTGACTCCTAGTGTTTCCATCGTAACTTGTCCTGGGAGCGCGATGACCATTGATGAGTGGGTTTTCTCCATTCAAGTTTCTGCTCTGGAGATCCAGCGGGGAACCTGGGCAAGTTGGAAGTTCTCTCCGTAGTTGCTTCTGATTTCTGATGCTACCAATTGTCCCGCCTCGATGCCTTCCCCGACCGTTGTGGGGATTCCATGGAGGAGGAACTTTGACCATTTGGAGTTTGCACGGATGACGGCGACTGGTACCTGTAGGGTGAGGACGGCCTCCTCAATTTCTTTGGCGTATTCCATTGCCTTTGTTGCAGGGGTAACGAATTTTGTTTCCAAGATGAAGTTGTCCTTGGGTGTTCTTCTTGCTGAGATGAAGTGGCAGGACTCGTCTTGGATTCTTGCATTGACCAGGGTCCTGATCTCGGAGGGGTTGACGTCCGATGGGGCGGTGGTTTCAACAATGATCTCCCTGTTGATTTTAGTGTACTCGGGTTTGAAGAGGGGGTCCGCTTTTGACTTTGCGGGCTTCTTTCTTCTCTCGACAACCTGGAAGTTTCCTTGGGCGGGACCGGGTGCTGAGGCCACGGCGGCCCAGGTGCCTGCCTTCCATCCACGGGGTGGGGCTTGTTGGGGAGGTGCGGGTGGGGGGGCCTGAGGAGCTGCCTGTGGCGCTGCTTGGGGAACTGTTTGGGGGACCGCTGGAGGGGGCATTCTCTGTCCCTGCGGTTGTTGTGGTTTTCGCTGTTGTTGCTGTTGTTGGTGTTGTTGCGGTTGCTGCGGTTGTTGCGGTTGTGGTTGTTTGTTGAGGAGGGCGTGGATCGCCGAATGCATGTTGGTGATCATGTTTGTTTGTGCCTCGATTTGATGTTTCAGTGTATCCACTGTTCTCCGGAGAGTGATCGATTGCTCTTCAAGGTATTCGATCCTGTCGGAGGGTGGGCAGATCCGGCTGGTGGCATGTCTGATGGCCCATGTGATGGAATTGAAGTCTGTCTGGGTGTGCGTGGTTTGGGGGACAATACTCGGGTAGAGATAGTCAATTCTCGGTTGGTAGGGGTCGTTATAGTCCGATTCCTTTGCAAAGATCGTGGAAAACTCCTGTTCCTGGGTTCCGGATGGGGTTGGGTTGGGGTCCTGGGTGTTCCTGTTCTGTGGGGGAGCTGTCCCTTGCTGGAAAGACTGGGTGAAGAAGGACTGGAGCGAAGCTTGCTGCGACATGACTGAATGTCCAGTTCTTCTGGCGGCGTAGAGTGATGTTTCAGATAGGTTTCTTTTCCTTCCTTTCGGGAGGTCAAGGCTGGAGAATTCTTCGCTAGAAGCCAGTTTTCGTGGTGTTTCTTTCGCTAGGAACAACAAATGCGACCGTACGATCGGGGACGAAGTGGCTCAGCCTGGTATGGTATACCAGGGTGAACCGAGGGGAATAAATAAACTATTTTTAAAGCGAGGTTGATTGTCAGGGAGTTCTTTGCGAGCCTTAGCGAGCAAGTAGAATGCAGAAGAAGAAGAAGAAGAAACTTATATTGCTTAGAAGCCGAAGCTTATCGCACACCTAACTACCCAACTACAACCTCCACCGACTAACCCGAAGGCAAAAACAAAGTACAAAAACTAACTACCGCAGCTACAAGAACTACGTACATAAGAATAAAAATAAACGACGCACGAAGAGGGCGCAAACAACAAGTGATACAGGTAAGCAGAATCTAAGCGACAACAAAGAAACCTCCCCGTAGTAAATAAGTAAGAACCCCAAACTTCTCCGTCAACTGCATTAGCGAACACAATCCTAAACATGGTGTTCAATCGAAACGATATCATTACCAACGTTCCCGGTGTCATATCTGTGGACGAACCTTAACAGGACTGGGAAACTGTCACGGGCATGCCAAGCATTTACGGGAGTGAGAGAAAGGCTAGTAGATACCCCAATACCCTTTGATACTAATGGCAACACCACTATCAACTCCGGTTCGCACCCACGAGGTGTGGTGCGATCGATATGCGACCAAATGCGGAGTTGCGGTTTTCCTAGTTAAAAAATACGTTTTCGACCCCAATAATAACCCCCGGAGCGTCAAACCGCCGGAGGGGTGTGTTTTGGTACCGGTGGATATATGAGGGACAGCTGGAATCAATCGGATCGAAGATCGGACCGCTCGGAGCGAATCGGCGCAAGCTGCCAGCCGACCGAGTACCTATCGGCGGTACCTGTAGGCATGAGAGGACTCTGCTATGTGGGAAAGCGATGTGGGAAGAGGCCTGAGTAGGTAGCCTTGCCATCCGAGACCTCCGAATAGCCGACGCTGACGATTGTCCACCAGACGGCCGATGGAGAAGAACCATCGACAGGGGAACGTGCATTAGAGTGGATAAATAGGTTGAGGGGTTTTAGCGGATTTAGGAGTTTGGGTAATGGACTTAGGCGTTAAATGTTCTTGGTTGTTTTTCAGGGTCTCGGGCATGCCCCGAGTGTATTCTGTATTATTAGTAGACTGGGTCCTCGAGACATAAGCGAGGGATATAAATACTGTGTCATTCACTGACTAGCCAAACTATCATCGGCGAAATCAGAGTCTTAACAATATAAATCGTTGATACGCGAGTTACAACTTTATTTGACTATACTTTTGGAATTACTTTATTCTATCGTGACTTCGAACTCTACCTGAACTATCACGTCGAAGACGGTCGAATTCTATACGCTAACTCTAGTGAATCTTGGTTGATAACGTAGCTCGCAGGGCCCGTATCGGATCAAGGAGATTCATACTCGATGTTGACTGAAGAGACCTTGGAGACTTCTACCTTTGTAGCTGTTAGCCGAACTCTGAGCTCTGCGTAGTGTACTCTTGTGGTCTGGTACGCATCCCTCACAGTATATTGTTACTCACAAGTTCACTTGGAGTAACGAAGTCACCTCAAAAAAGAAGAACTATCATCATTATCCCTTACCACAATGGCTGGCCGAAGGGATTATTTCGTAGACACCTCGGCCGTAACAGACGAGTCCGCAGAGGACGCTATGGTACTATCTGGGGCTGTTACCCCCGATCCCCTACTCCAGGGAGGACCCTCTACACAAACTAGGTCAACGAGTAAACGCTCTGCTCAAGCCCAGTTTACAAGGTCCATGCAGGAGTTTTTGGATACCCATGAGGCACAAATGAGGTATCTTGGTTCAGCTGGACAGGCCGTTTGGCAGCAGCTACAAAACCTCCAGGAACAAGTCCAAGGAAGTGGGCAAATTCTGGACAAGAAAGTACGACAAGAAGCCATCGCCCAGAAGCAACATCTCGAATCGCTCTTTGAGCTCGTCGAAAATGTTCGACAAGAACAGGAAGCCGCACGAGTCGCCGACCACGAGGTTCTGGACCGTAACCATCGAGTTACCCAGAACCAACTATTGGAGGCGGAACGACAGCTGAGAGTTGCAAGAGAAGAGCGAGAGCAGGAGAAAAGGGAACAGCGGGAACTGTTGGCACAATTCAAGCGGTCCGACGACGTAAGAAACCAACGAATAGCCGAGATGGAGGAATGTCTACGACAACATTTGTCGGTAGCACCCTCCATGGTGAGTATTCCCTTGGACCCTATTGCACCCCAAACGGTTCCTGTTGGCAATGGCAAGAATCCCGAAAATGCTGGCCCAGTAGGAGGAAATGCTGGTCCCGTAGGAGGAAATGGAGGCAGGCAACCGGAGGATGCCGGCCCGGTGCAGGGAAATAATGGCAGGAAACCGGTGGGAGCTGCCCCCGTCGGCGGGAATGGTGGAAATCAACCTCCCCAGAACCCACCAAGAGGAAATGTTGGGGGAGATCCAGAACCTTCCGACGATGATGACGACGATAACAGTGAATGGTCGCATGGTCGGAAGAATTGGAGAATGAACCGAGGCGGAAACCGGAATTCGGCGCCGCCTGAAGACGATGATATGGTAGATTCGCTCGCCAAAATACCCTTTGAGTTCGATAATGCCAGAAAGCATAACCTGCGGCATTGGCTCATGGAGTGCGAGATCTACTTCGAGCAGAAGCCCAAGAAGTTCCGAACGGACAGGAACAAGGTACTGTTCGCCGGGACGTATACGTGTGGGTTGGCTAAGGAATGGTTTATGGAATATGTCGAGACCAAGATGCTAGGACCGGCAGCCGCGGACTACGCTACTTGGACTCGTTTCCGTCAGGAGATCAGAAAACGCTTCCTAAGTACTCAGGAAGCTATGGAAAACGCGATGAAGATGCAGCAGTTTAAGTACTCTGCTAACATCGGAGACTACCTGACGAGAATGGAGATCATGAACCAACATGCTCAGATGAAAGGGGCATCCTATCGCGCCGCCCTGCTCCAAGGGCTACCAAATGAAATCCGGGAGCGCCACTCACGCTTCGATCCAACCGATGACGACTCCGAGTACATCCAACAGTTGGAACGAGCCGGCAAGGCTCACGAGGCTTATCAAGAGCAGATGAAGATGTTGGGGAAAGCGGAGTCAAGGGGAAGGGAGTCGAATAATGGTGGGAACTCGCGGCAGAAGGAGAAGCGGTTTAAGATCAAGGGGAGGGCTCAGACTGAGGAGAAAGAGAAAGGGCAAGATAAAAAGAGCACCAGCAAGAACAAATCGGGGAATAAGCCAATATACCATGACTACGACGAAGCCACCAAAGGAGTTCCACAGCCGGTCCGAGACCAGCGAAAGACCGATGGTGTCTGTGTGCGATGTGGCCGAAAGGGTCATCTTTGGAAATGGTGTCGTTCAGATGCTAACAGTAGTGCATCTATCTCCTCTTTCTCTCGAAAGCGTACCCGCGATGACGATGGTGATCACGATATGGAACCACCGGAACCCCAACCTCAGAAGAAGCGAATGAGGCACCGTGCTAAGAAGCCGGCTGCGACGGCTGCTGCGGAGTACACCAGTGGACAAGCGTTTGTACGAGAACGCGGATCGGAATCTGAGATGGATTTCGATATGGATTTTTAGAAGGGGACTCTGATGAGTCAGGTCAGGAGTATCCCCAGATTGCTATGTTATCACTGACGGAAAACAA